CACACACACACACACACACACACACACACACACACACACACACACACCAAATATGTTTTTTTGGAAACAAATTTTAATAGAAATAAAATTTAAAGATAATTTTATGAACATCCATGGAGTGCAGGAGAGTGCTTATGTATATTGTTCCACACACCAGGACCCCCGGCCAGACCCTCTCCTTTGCCCATCTGGCTGCTGTGTTTCCACTGATGACACGGTCATTTTATCCCAAGGAAATCGGTTCTCTCTGGAGCTGGCTTTGCTTCTTTCTCTCTCTTTCCAACAGCTGTCCTCACCCCACCCAGGATGGAGGTCACAGAACATGGATTACATCTGGTTATTGAGCTGGAAGACCTTGGGCCCCAGTTTGAGTTCCTTGTGGCCTACTGGAGGAGTGAGCCTGGTGCCACGGTGAGGCCTCCCACTGACGTTTGGCCTTTGAGTCAAGCCTCGGAGAACGAGCACAGCCTTCTAGGGGCTGAGGGAGCAAGTCTAGTTTTGTAGTGCTCATGGCATAAGTGGCCTGACCAGAGTGAAGTGAGAGAACCAACCATCCCTCGACTCCTTCCTCAAAGACCTGCCTTTGTTCATCCTAGGCCTTAGCGAAGGTACCTGGGCCCTTTTCAGGCCAGGTCTGAAGTTTAGGAGAATGCATCACCTTGCTGGACCCCCTAGTCCTTTTTGATGCATTTGGGTTTTTGTAATAAAAACCAGCTAGTCTCAGACACTTAGGGGCAGCAGGCCAGGAAGTTCCAGGTCAGGGTGTGCTGGATAATTTCAGAAGCACAGAAGGTGGGCACAAATTTCTCAAGGGTGTGTCTTGGCAGAGTGCAGAAGTGGGGCAGCAAGCCAGGAGTTGGCTTATGAATAAGCCTATCTAATTACGATCGGGTGGGCCGTGCAGAAAGCCTGGAAGGGAGCTGCCCTTCCTCATGGGAAGGTTGCTGTAGTCTGGGCTGAGTGGGAGGGCCAGTTCTCATGGAAAAGTGGTCTGACTAGGAGCAGCAGCAGCAGCAGCAGCAGCAGCAGCAGCAGCAGCAGCAGCAGCAGGATGAAGCTGTAGCAGAGGTAGCGGCTACCGCTCTGTGTGTAGCCCTGTTTAAGCTGATACAATGACAAGACCTGGTGACCCACCCCAGTGGTCACCAGGAAAGCTTGCTTTCTCAGAAGGATCAATACGGGCAACAGAGTTTTCTCATCAAATCTGTGAGCAGAACCAGCACAGGGCCAGGAGGAAGTCCAGTCTTACCTACTCAGGGACCCTGGCCTGTGGGAGCCTTGCTGTCCTTTCCTTGAAGGTCTTACTGTGGCCTCTCCCTTTTGCTCCCAGGTCCTATACATGGCTGTGACCGTGCCTCCATGACTTCTCTAAAGGCATCTCAGACTGACCCTCCTCACCCAGTCCTCTCCCTTTGTCCTCCTGTCCAGCTTGAGGTATTCAGTTTCCCAAGACCAAATCCTCCAGGGATGAAGCCCCATTGCTTGTGCCCAATTTAGCAGTCCAAGTTGTATGGGTTTCAGACAGCTGGCTGAGCTCTGTGGGTACCCTTCTCAGTCTGGGGTGTTCAGTGTCACATAGCAATATCTGGGGGCTGTGCACCCCCAGCTGGGTGGGATAGTGACCCTTGGAAGATGGTATGGGGTGGGTGGGACAGGTTATTCGCCAATATTTACCCTGCTGAGTCCCGGCACACTGGTAGGACATTACATTGCCAGCCAGGCAGATGGAACAGAGTGGGAGAAAGGCTGGGACTTGGCAGGAGAGAGCACGTAGCAACCTCGTATTCTTTGGGGTAGAGCCCCACCCTTGTAACTGGGAGGCTCTTTGCTGAGAGAGTGTGTACCCTGAGTCATCTGGGCTGGGTCCCACAAGCTTCTACAGGCTCCACTACAGCCCTGGGGGTTAGAGTGCGAGTTGAAGTGTGGACAGACAGGTGGACGGGCTCTGCTCAGATGCTACCCAGTTTCTAAACACCTTTTAACCCTTGTGCCTCCTCGCCACTCTCTTTGGCTTGCCCTGCTTTTTCTTCAGAGCCCTAACCACCAGCAGGAATGTGCTTATGTCATATTTCTCTCCCACATGCAAGCTCTCCGAGAGCAGGGGCTTTATGTGTTTTGTTCAGTGCTGTGTGCTATGCCCATAGTACAGGCTAAATGGCTCTGAGTGCACAAATGAGGAAATGAATGCCTCCATGCATAAATGAGAAGGAATATTCTGGAAAAGGACTGCCTGCACTTTTTCCTGCCCAGCTCTCCCACCATCTTTAGCTCTGCTGCCCTTAGGCAGTAACTATGTTTTGATCTTTTTTTTTTTTTTTTTTTTTTTTTAAAGGAACATGTGAAGGTGGTGAGGAGTGGGGACATTCCAGTGTATCTAGAAACTATGGAACCGGGGGCCATGTACTGTGTGAAGGCGCAGGCGCTGGTGAAGGCCATTGGGAGGCGCAGTGCCTTCAGCAAGACTGAGTGTGTGGAGATGCAAGGTAAGGACAACTTGCCTGTCCTTGGGTCCCCACACTTGGCAGCACTACCAGGGCACGCCTGGATGCCCACCCACTGGGTGCCTTTGGTTCCAAGTCTTTCCCTGGCTCTACATATTTGCTTTCTGATTTGGTGGGTTCTGGGGTAAACTCCAATTCCCTCAGTATAGGAGCCCACCCTGGGGACTGGGTGGGATCTCTTGAGTAGTTGTGTGGAGCACCTTCCCCCAAAGCCTCCTCCCCCTGGGGCATGTGTTACAAAGCCATCGTGCCAGAGGATGCTGTAGGCAAAGATGGCTGCAGGAGAGCCAGACCGTGGAAGGAAGCGCCATACTGCATAACAAAATCACAGCTTCTTTCGTCAGGAAGGGATCTTATTGTCTGTAGAATCCTCTTTTTGGACTAAAATTTTTCACCTGAATTAAAACAATTTAGAGTTATGTGTGTGTGTGTGTGTGTGTGTGTGTGTGTGTGTATCTATGTATATACACACACACATATGCACACGTGGGTACAAAGGGCATGTACTAGGCTGATGTTAGACATCGTCCTGGTTTTCTGTTTTACGAGGCAGCCTCTCTCACCCGTCCCAGAGCTTACTGGCTGGCTGTGCTGGCTGGCCGGCCAGCAAGCTCCAGGGACTCCCAAGCATTAGTGCTATAGATGCACATAGCTCCTCTTGGCTTTTATATGCATGCCATGGACCCAAACTTGGGTCCTCGTGCTTTCGTGACAGGCACTTTACTGATTGGGCCATATCCCTAATATCCCTAGACCACCCCCCCTCCCCCGTCCATCAGTCTAAAGAAACCTTCAGTAATTAAAAATTCTTTGAAAAGAAACAAAATCTTACATCCCATAAGCCCACCATGCAGACACCACTAGCTACATTTTTCAACATAACTTCTTAGCTTAAAAAATATTATAATCCATAACATAAAATATACATGTAAGTTGTCATATCTATGTGTCTTCTCCCTTCACATAGTTCCTGCATCCTTTCTCTTCAGTATGAGTTTCTTATGTAGTCTTCTGAAGATGCCTGAATCCATATATATGGAAATGAGGACATGTATATGTAAGAAGGTACATCTTTTAAGCAAAAGTGATGGCATATGCACTGTTTCAAATCTATCTTTTATGTATCTTGTAGATGTTTTCAAATGAATTTTAAAAAGTCCCATCTTTCTTCTTTATTATCAAATACTATTCCATTTTGTGAGTGAGTGAATGTGGTGTGTGTTAGTTAATTTAACTGATCTGCTATTAATGGGATTAGATTTTTCTCCACCAAAATATTTTGTTATTGCAATCAATGAATTCATTTCCTTGTGCATAATCACTTTTGCTAATATACACACATACACACGTACATATGTATGTGTGTGTATGTATGTTTGAATGATACATTCCTGGAAGTAAAATAGCTTGGTAAAAAGACATACATTTAATTTTGTCAAATTTCCCTCCATAGAATTATGACCCTTCAGTTATCACCCGTGTGAAGACATACTATAGCCCTGTATGACATACATGTTATATCTGGTTTGTTTTTCATAAACATATTTAGGTACTTGAAAATTATATGTCAAGTTTCAAACAGCACAGAACTCTAATAATAGGAGTTAAATACTCTCTCCCTCCTCATGCTGCTCAAGAAGGGTGTTGTTACAGTTTGGGTATAGAACGTACTGCACAGGCTCTATGTGTTTGAGCAGTAAGTCCCCGGCTAGGAGCACTAGTTGGGAAGTTGTAGAACCCCTGGGAGGTGAGGCCTAGCTAGAGAAAGTGGTTCTCAGGGAGGTGACCTTGAGGTTTAAAGTTCCACCCCACTTCCTGTCCTGTTTCCTGAGCCCTGGGAATGTAAACATGCAGCTTCCTGTTCCTGCAGCCACAGCTGAGAATTGTCCCTGTGACTACTCCTTCCCTACCAGGATGGAATTCATCCCCAAAGCCTGAGTCAAAATAAACCCTTCCTTGCTTCGGTTGCTTCTTGTCAGGCGTTTGACCACAGGAGGAACGTCACAAGTACATTTCTGTTGGTGAATCCTTCATTTATTCTTCCACCATTGTCTGTACCATCCAGCACTTCCTCAGGTGTCCAAGTATCCCCACGTTCTTTACCTGGCTCAGTTGCGCTATCTTCTTTCCTCTTCTCGTCCTCCTCCTCCTTCTTTCTTCTTCTCCTCCTCTTCCTTCCTTTCTTCTTCCTCCTCCTCCTCCTTCTTCAAGACAGGGTCTTACTATGTAGCTCTGGCTGTCCTGAACTCACTACATAGACCAGGCTGGCCTTGAACTCAGAGATACAGCTGTTTCTGTCTCCTACGTGCTGGGATTAAGGGTGTGCACCACTACACCTGGCTTGCCTTATTTTTAAAGACACACAATAAGCCAATATAAATGCAAGTATATCCTTATTAATGGCATGGACTCTCCAAATTTTTTCCATTATTGGTCAAGCTGTAATCTGTTGATCCAATTTCTCCTTTTAACAGCTGAATTGCCCACCTAGCATGCCAGTGTTCCATAATATCTTTCATCAGACCATTTGTTTGGCATTTAAATCCCTGCACACAGGGATGCATGAGCGGCAGGACACTGCTGGACAGCATGGGTTGATGATAGCCGGTGGCTCTTGTCTGGACATTCCTGTGCACTGACTGATACACACACTCATTTCCTTCCTTGGAATGATTTTTCTGGAATGGACATCGCAGGAGTGGATTGGAGGGGTATGAGCACTGTACGACTCTTGATGTCTACTGACAAAATATTTTCCAAAAGTGAAACAATGCACACACCTCGTGCCACCCGCCACAGCCGCATGATGAGTCACTCCTAACACTGCGAGTGAACAACCCAGGCAGGAGGCGATAAACAGGTTGCTTGAGGGTAGATAGAACAGAGAGGTGGGAAACTAGCTCATCCCCTCCTCTGCGTCTCCAGATGCTGTATTTTTGCTGTATTTGTTAGCAAACTCATCATGGGCTTTGGAGCTAGCCCTAACCTGTGTGTCCTGGGATAGGCCATTAACCCGTCTTGAGCATGAATAACATTCTCTTCTCTGAAAGGGGTCCTCACTGTGAGGAGCAGGGTGCTGGGAGATGGAAGTAGAACTAGAATGTGTAACAGGGGCTTGATCTGTTGGTTATTATGTGACTGTGTAGGGGACTTGATATTCTTCTCTGTCATAGGAGTCAATGCCAAGAGCAAATTGTGAAACACTTTGTTTTTGGTTCCCGCCCAGCCCTGTTCTGGGCTGCTCTGCTCCAACACCTCACCCTCATCCTGCTTGGGGCCTGGCAGCCTGCCTTCCTGCAGCAGTAGAGCCAGGTACATGCTACCATAGGCAATGCCCTACATTCCTCCCCTTCCCTTCCCAAAACCGAGATGGTAACCGTCCCTGTGGCTTTCTGAAAAACCACGCTTTGATTGAGGTTCTGGAAGAACGGTGGTAGCTGCAGCCGTTGGAGGACACACCAACTCTCAGGGTGCCGTCACCCTGCCGTGCTAGCCCCAGGGCAGCTCTTGGCAACTCTCCGAGGTGCAGGGCCGGTGGTTCCCCTTCCATGCTGTTCCCACGCCTTCTCTTATGCTCTGTCCACAGGAGGGCCTCTCCCGCTCGCGCTGGCCCTGTTTGCGTTTGTTGGCTTCATGCTGATTCTCATGGTTGTACTGCTCTCCATCTGGAAGATGGGCCAGCTGCTCCGGTATTCATGCTGCCCCACTGAGGCCCATAATGCATCATACTGAAAGGTAAAAGAATGTTCTTACCAGGGTGTCAGGGAGGACCACAGTGGGGCATGGACATATTTTTCATGGTTTATGAAGATAGGCAGAGAGTGGAGAAAGTGCTAATGGGGCTTTACTTGTCTTAGTGTGTGCTGCTGTAACAGAATACCACAGACTGGGTAGTTTATAAAGCACAGAAGTTCATTGGCTTCTGGAGGTGGGAGATGGTGTTGGTGGAATGAAGGCTGAAGGGCCTTATGGGTGTCTTCCTGTTACAGCATGGCTAAAGGTGTCACACAAGTGATAAAACAAGTTATGGAGCCTGCGGTCTTAAGGCCTTCTAGCCTACACTCATGGAGCTGGTCCTTTACAGCCTCATTTCCTCCCCCAGTTCCTACCCCAACACTGTTGCACTGGAGATTTGTTGCTAACGTGTGGTTTTTGGGAATATGCTCAGTTCACAGTAACTCTTGATCAGGAGATCTGGGTGGGTCCTCCCTTTTCCAGGGTACAGTGATCACCCTGAAGCTCTGGCAAGCCATTCTGCTCACTACCTCCACCCCCAGCCTGACAGTAGCAAGAGGATGGCTGTGTTGTTCAGCCCAGAGGGCTTGGTGTTTCAGGTGTCGTGCAGCCTTCCAAAGTACCTTTTGAGTACTCTCAGCTTCCCCAATTGTAACAGCAGCTACATCTATTTAACACGTTCTGACTCAACATCCTCAGTCTGAGTGCCAAGAATCTCATGAGTTTCAGGTTTGAAAATCACGTGGCATGAAATATGCTGTGCATGGAGCAGGTGAGGGCAATGGTCTGAACCTTCATAGTTGACTGCTCAAAGAGATGTCTTTCCAGGGCCCCTCAAGCCCAGGATATTCTCTTGAGAACAATGGACCATGGTTCTGAGCCTCTCAAAGGCTCTGTGTGCTTGTGCCCTGGAGGGGGAAGAAAAGACAGGCCTCAGCAGCTCACACCTGTTCCACCTGTGGCTCTCCCGAGACCTCAAACACACCAAGCAGCATGATCAAAGAAACAACAAACAGGAAGCAGAGCGACCCCTCCTTTCCTGTCACCTTAAGGCTCTCACAGTTCCCTTCTGGTAGGGAGTTAGCAGTCAGCTGCCCTAGAGCAATCGGAACCAGCTCTGTCTGTAGTCAACATGCTGCTGGAGTTCTGGAGTTCTAGTGATGTCACTCTTGTAATATCCATGTGATTTGCTTTTGCCTCTAGAGAAGAGGTGTAACTCTCCCTGTAACCCAGTCTCCAAGGATGCCCCGCCACCCTCTGTCCTAATGACAGCTCTCATGGGTCTAATACTTCCAAGTAGTCGTAATAATGTTAGCTGACAGCAGTGCAGAGCTAAGTGCCTGGGCTGTTGTAGGCTGCTCATGTGTTGACTCAGGTTATTGGGTTTGCCCTGACTTCTGTCCACTAATTGATTGAGAAAATGGTATAAAGAACCTAACTGTGAGCCCGGTACAGTGGCTCACGCCTATAATCTCAGCACTCAGGGAGGCAGGGGCAGGTGGAGCTCTGTGAGTTCAAGGTCAGCCTGGTCTACAAAGCCAAGGCCACACAGAGAAACCCTGTCTTAAAAAACAACAAACAAATAAACAAACAAGCAGAAGAAACTAATTGTAAATGTAACTATCTATTTCTGCCTTTATGTCAACTTTCCATACTTTTGTGTGTGTGTGTATGTGTGTGACAGAGTCTCACTCTGGCTGTCCTGGAGCTCACTATGTAGACCAGGCTGGCCTTGAACTGAGAGATCCATCTGCTTCTGCCTCCTGAGTGTTGAGATTAAAGGCCTGTGCCACCACACCCAGAAACTTTTCATGCATTTTGAGTGCATGCACAGTTATGATTGCTGGATCTTCTTAAGTAAGACTTTCAGCATCATGATGCATTTCTTTTTATCTTTGATAACATTCGTCTTTTTTATTCATTGCTTATATGATATAGCCTTTATAAACTTCTCTGTGTTCATGAAGACAGGTGATTTGGTTTTCTGTTTTGACTTGTGTATGTGTTGTCACTTCTGGTATCTTCCCTTTTAAAGTGGTATATTAAGTCCAGTAACATGTAATATAATGATTGATATAGTTCTATATTGAATAATTATTTTATTTTCTGTTTCTCCCATTCCTGTTTTTATTTTTCTGCCTCTTTTGGGGTTTATTAAGTATATTAAGTCATACACACATATACACACACACATTACAATTTCCTTTCTTCTCTTTTCTTTTTATTGAAGCTGGCTTTGATCTCATTATATAGTCAAAGATAACCTTGAACTTTCCACATCTACCTCCCAAGTGCTGTTGTATGTGGTCCTGAAGACCCTGTACATGCTATGCAAGCATTTTACCAACCCCAGCCCCAAGAAAATACATTTTATAATTAATTTTTAATCTTTTTGCTATTTACATTGTTTTTTTTTCATGGTTGTACTAGGAATTACCATATATACATGTCCTTTACCTTTAAAAAAAAAAGCTTTCTTTACTTTTATTTATGTGTATGAGTGTTTGTCTATCTGTCAATGTACCGTGTGCATGCAGTATCCACAGAGGCCAGAAGAGGGCATCAGGATGCTCATATTGTTTTGTTTTATATTATTTTATGCTTTATATTCTCATAAAAGAAAGCATTTAACTAGGGCTGGCTTACAGTTTTAGAGGGTTAGTCCATGATCATCATGGCAGGAAGCAGACAGGCATGGCACTGGAGCAGTAGCTGCTTGCCTTACATTCTGATCTACAGGCAGCAAGTGGGCAGAGAGTGGTGGAGTAGGGAGAGATTCTGGGTCATATGTAGACTTTTGGAACCTCAGACCTCACTCCCAGCAACACTCTTTCTCCAGCAAAAGCCACACCTCTTAATCCTTCTCAGACAGTTCATGGGAGCCATTCTCATTCAAACCACAGGAGAGAGACAGAGACAGCAGAGACAGAGATGGGGGACATGGGAGATGGGGTACAGGGAAAAATATTTTTCCAGGTCAAGTTCTTAGTCACCTACTTCTTCTAATGAAGCCCTACCTCTTACTTTTCAGATGTAATGTCAGATTGTGTATACATCTAAGGATTATTCCAGTGATAGATCAGAGCTCTCCTGCTCTGATCACTTGCCTAAAACTCTCATACATGAGCCAACATGGATGATGTTTTAGCTTTAAACCATAGCCGGCTACTTAGTAATGGACCCTCTGCAGAGCTGCTCTCTGTATGTTTAAAACCAGCTATTATCAGGCACTGTGATCTCTGGGAGAAACTGCAGGAGTATAAAATAGGAGTAGCAAAAAGCCTGCCCTCGTGATACTCTCTGGACTGGGTACCAGGCTAGGTACTATCTGTCTCAAAGCTTCCGGGAGCAGGCCCTTCTCAGAGCTGTTTGGATGGTAGAAGGGTGGGCCCCTTACCCCAGAATTCTGAGTTTTTGTGGGTCTGGGTCTCAGGGGAAAGCAGTGACCCAGCAGGGCCATTTGGGAATTGCTAGACCAAGGGCCAGAAGAGGGCTCAGCAGATGCTGGGTGGCACTGGCCTAGGGGCTCGGATTGTCCTGGAGAGTTGTGCTGCTTGGAAGTTAATTAGGGCTAGGGTAATGGCCCCATGGTTAAAGTGCTTGCCAGACAAGCACCCAAGGATCAGTGTTTGGATCCCCAGAACCTATATAAATGCTGAGTGAGGGATCAAGGAAAACTCCCAATGTCAACTTAGGGCCTGCACATAAGAGCATATGCACCCACTTACACATGTGAGAACACACACACACACACACACACTCTCTCTCTCTCTCTCTCTCTCTCTCTCGCTCTCTCTCTCGCATGTACACAAAAAGGAAGTTAAATAGTTGGGATTGCTGTAATATTCTTTGTGGCTACCATCACTGAAGCAATGTCTAATGAATGATTTTTATGAAAATAAATTTTTAGAAAATAACCAGCCCATCCCAGAAGCTAATCAGCTGCAGAAAGGAAGAGGTGGACACCTGTGCTGTGACTGTACTGTCCTCGGAGCATCTTTTGGGGGTCTGGATCTCACAGACTTGAGGAAGGACCTGATGGATTAACAACCTGGTCAGCAGGACCCAGAACCCTGGACGGGGAGGGCTGTGTTTCTGTTTTCCTCCGTGAACAAAAGAGCCGGCTGTGTGCAAGTCTAGCAGCAACCATCAGAGGCAAAGCGGTGTGACACCAGAGTGACAGCCAGTGGTGAGGAGAAGTGACCCCCAGACCTGCAGTTACCATACACTCACTGAACGACAGTGGGGGAAAATGGCTTCATCCCTCCACACCCTGGCTTTGCCATCTGTGGTGGGGATTAACCGCATCACATAATGCTCTCTCCCCTCGTCTCCGTGTACCACCAGCAGGGTGGCAGGGAGACTGGTGGCATTGGGTACTGCAGTGAGTTCAGTGAGACCTTGTGGCCTGGGGGGTACACATGTGTACTAAGAATGACACACACACACACACACACACAAAACTACACAGAGCTGGATGCATGCCTGCAATCTCAGCACTTGGGAGGAGGCAGAGAGAAAAATCACAAGCTCGAGGCAGCCTGGACTAGAGTGAGACCCGGTCTCAAATAAACAACTAAACGACGAAGAGTAAGAGAACATAAAAACAAACACAAACCATTGTTGGACTTCCCACTTCCCCAGAGGAAACCTTGAGGAGGGAAGGAAGAATGGGAGAGCCGGTTCACTTGCTGAAGTGCTAAGTCAGCAAGCTCTGCTGAGGGTGCCCGGAGAGAGGCCACGCCTCCCTCCACACACATACCCTGGTCCACTACAGGACATTTGTGAATGTTGCTGTGACTTCATGAGATGCCATCAGATCCTGGGGCCTTGTCCACAGGAAATCCCATGAGCCCTCTTCCTAAGGACAGTTCACTCAGGACAGCCTCTCCCAGGTGCTCATCAGGAACCCTTGACTAGAGGTGGTACCATTCCTTACCACCTCTAGGAGAAGAGCTTTGGTCAGAGGAGAATGGAGGGAGTGGCTTCATCCCTCACCACCCCCTCCCAGCTCTGGAACCTGGAGCTGGCTTGTCTCTGCCCCGACTTCCTGGGCCTCTCCAACCAGACAGGGGTGAAGACAGGCCAACCGTTTCAACCAGGTGCTTCCTGTCTTGAGGACAGAAGCCAATGGCCCTGTTTCCACCTTGGGGACGCCAGGAGAAAGAGGGCATTTCTGCAGGGGTGTGAGGGGAGGCTCTCTGCTAGGGTTTGTATCTGTTTGTATACTTTTGCCTTGACTCTTTTTCCAATTGTGTTAATTTTATATTTCAACTGGTCTGGAAATGTATTTGCTGTTTGCAAAATTAAAAAAAAAATGCTACCAACCTTGCTTGGTTCACCTTTGCTCCTCCCTCTTCTCTCCCCTTCACCCCAGGGACCTTGTTCTTCCATCACCTGTCTAGGCTCAGAATAAAGTAATAACCCCAGCCTTTCTCTGTTACAGTTTCTCATGGGATTCTGCCTGTTTCGCTGGCCTCTTTAGCCACATAGAGACTTCTCTCAATTATTCTGTTGTTTCTTCATGTCCCCACTATGTGTTTATTGAACCCCAACCTAGCATCAGAAATTGAGCTTGCTCCTGGTTGGGGGGGGGGGAGTTTCTTCTGGAACCTCCTCTCCTCCTTTCTACCTGTGTAACAGTTTTAATTGTTGAAATAATTGACACTCTCTGGAATCATGTAGGAAGAATCTAAGTGAGGGACTGTGTAGACCAGGCTGGCCTGTGGTCATGTCTCGGTGTCTCGGTTATGGTAATTGCTGTGGCCCTTGCTCACTTTGAAGCTTCCCACAGACCCAGGTTTTCTCATCGTGCCTTCACAGAACACTTTCTCCCATCTAGAAACAAAATCCTGCTTCAGGACCTTGGATTTCAGTGAGCAATGGGAAAATGATTATTAAACAATGATAAAGTATTGTTATTATTAAGTGAATTACTTGTATACTGAGTTTATAAGCCTTACGAAGAAATGAAAAGGTGGAGCATAAGTAGGCGTGGGGCAGGTTGCAGCCATCTCAGGATGAAAACGAGAGCAATCGCCTGAGCCCACACTCTGTCAGAGGTGTTCCTGTGTAGCCACGAGGTGTGAGATTATGTGTGACTCGGGAGCTCGGTAACTTGGCAACAAATCCTTAGGGCTGTGCTGCCTAAATCAAAATGTATTCAGCGTGTGCACTGTTTCTATTGATAGTCCCCTAAAAAGTTATTTTCCTAAGCTATCAGATAGAAGAGCAAACAAATGTTGTTTATTCTGAGGGGAACCTGGCTTTTGGGATCAATGAACTGGAGGGCAATTGTAGGCCTCAACATTTGCATACAACACTGTGTCCGTTAAAACCAAATCTTTGATGGCCAGTGTTAATGTCAACTTAACACAAGCTAGAATCTGAGAGCAGAGAACCTCAACTGAGGAAATGCTTCCAGAAGACTGGGCTGTAGGCAGGCCTGTAGGACATTTTCTTAATTAGTGATTGATGGGAAGGGCCCAGCTCACTATGGACAGTGCCGTTCCTGGGCTGGTCATCCTGGGTTCTATAAGACAGGCAGGCTGAGCAAGTCCCGTGGCCTCTGTGTCAGCAACTGTCTCTGGGCTCCTGGCCTGCTTGAGTTTCTGCCCTAACTTCCCTCTGTGATGGACAGGAAGTGTAAGCAAGATAAAACCCTTTCTTTCCCAAACTACTCTTGGTCGTGGTGTTTTATCACAGTAGTAGAAACCCTAAGACAAAATTAAACCAGGTAATGTGCCGTCATGCCTGTACAAAATGCACGAGTAGTTTGTGCCACTCTACGTTGAAAAGTCACACCCTTTGAAACTCACAGGCAGATCATTTGGAGTTAAAAGGAAAAGAAAAAAAAAATCTACCCTGCTGAAATGGCAGGGTAGAATTGTCACCCTTCACAGTGCATTCTGATGACCACATTTTGGTTTCCAGTGTTTTTAAGTAGTCAAGGTTTCTTAGAGCAGTGGCTGATCCCATATCTGCCTGAGACTGAAAGGCATATGGAAATTCTAGAACGTTTATGCCTTGTTTCGTCAGAAAGCAGAGTTCTGAACAATTGGGTCAGTCAAAACTTTACAGAATCAGTCTAAAAAGAGTCCCCACTGGCCATAGTTTGGACAGTTTTGAACATCCAAAGGAGGAAGGACTGAGTCCCGTGAGATGGCGCAGCCGGCAGAGCAGGCCCAGAGACTCGTGTTCCACCCACCCAGGAGACCACAGAGAAGTGCAAGGAGAGAACGGATGCCACAAAGTTGTTCCTTGGCATGTGCATGGTGGCACACACACACATGCAAAAAGTAAAAAAAAAAAAAAAAAAAAAAAATCTGAAAAAGAGCAACAGTGTGTGTTTCTACTGGGAACTTGTTAGGTCTTGGGAAGTGTCTATAACCAGATGTGACGGGCACGGCTCAGCTCAAGGGGGACTATAGAAAGATTATTGGCAGTTCGCTAAAAGCCAGCATTCCTCAGGAACTTGTGAAATGGGTCCCCCTATGCCAAAAGGAATCCTGTCTCTTGCCTCTGGCAGAGGGCTATGGATATCAGGCTCTCCATTGATGCACACCTGTGCCTGCTGGCCTCCAGGTTTCCTCAGTCCCTACTTAACTCCTCAAAGCCCAGGCGAGCGCCCCGGCCCTTCCCACCCCTCCCCATCTCCCAGGCTGTATCAGTTTGCAGGCTTCCCCCCTCCAGATACCCATTAGCTCTCTATAACGGACAAGATTCTTCCTCTCCCCCTCCCCCGGGTGCTATTCTTTACCATTCTCTTACTACTCTGGCTGGTTTCTATTCTATGTAATGCTGTTTTCCTGCTTCTCTCTGCTCTCAAGACATAGTCCTGGCCATGCCCAGTCGGCTTCATTTCCCCTTCGCTCCGGAGTCTTCTGGGTGTCTCTGGATGTTCTCCCTCTCTCTTATTCACGATAAAAACCTTCCCTCTCTGATCACGGAGCAGCCATTCTGGCGGCTTCCTCAATGTGTCCGCGCTTACAGTACTCATTGTGTTGACCTTATTGGCTCACTCATCAGTGAAAAATGCCAGCCAATGTAAAAAGGTCAGTCACAAGACCTGTTTCTCTACCACCAGTCCCTGTCTCCAGACAACACCTGCAGGCCGCTAACAGCGTCTCTGCGCTCCCCACCACTTATTTTTCACACGTTACTGTCGTCGTCCCCCCCCCCCCCCCCCCCCCCCGTCTTGTCAAGCGCCTGTTTCCAACACTTCACTGTCTTGTCAAGGTTCCCTGGGAAACCTATTTTCCAGAGGAGTTGCAGAGGATATCTGGCCTCTGTGCTGCTCCTCCCTAGCCTATTAAAACAGGCGTCTTTCTTGTTTTCCGGGCGCCTGTTTTCTTCTTTGACTTTTCTGCTGCTGACCTGTTGCCTTCGACTCTGGCCTGACCTGATCGGCCAGCGCCCGTCGGTGTCTGGTGCCACCTAGTGGTGAATTCTGAAAAAAAATCTTTCCGTTCCACTAAGCCACAAAAGCTTCCTGGGCTTCCCAGATTAGAGAAATGGAAGCGCTCTGGACTCAGTTGGAGAAGGTCCCCAGACCAAGACGGAAATACAGAGTTTTCTTAGCCACTTGCAGAGTTTAGCGACCATCATGTCCAAGCTCTGCTTCCCTGGCACCTGGCACCAGAGCGTGTGTCCCGCAGAGACCCGAAAGAGCACAGGGTAGCTCCCACCTTTGTGCTCTTACCTGAACTGCTCACCCACCGCACTGCAGGTTTCCAGATCGCCTAGGGTTGGCAAGCAAACTTGGTAAGCTCGCCTCATCGTAAGGTCGAGCCTGCAAAGCAAGTGCAAGGCCTGGGGACGCTGGTGGAAGGGGCAGGGATCAGGCCTATTGACACCATCCTGTGACCCTTAGCCAGGTGAAGCCACTTCATCCATCCAACCCCACGGTCTCAGCTGTTGGGTCTTGGGAGCCAGAACAACGTTAAACAGTTCCCGCCTTAGATGAAGCCTAGATCATGGGAGATGGCTGCATCTTTGCTAACGAGTTTTCATCTAGTAGACGACAGCAAGAAGATGCTGAAATGTAAGTAATTTCCAAGATACCCTTTTTCCGATTAAATGATTTTTTTTTTTTTCACTTACAAAAAAGTTGGAAGGTTCTGAACATTTGCAACGTATCCAATTTCAGGTAACATCCGGCGACATCAGGGTGCTGCCTGATGGAAGGATACCTCTGTACAAACAGCAGGGCGTTAGGGGAGAAGTCAGGGAGGAGGTGGATTTGCCTCTGATGGTCTTTACTGAGTATCTTTCATTCATTTTTACACATACAGGTTCCAAAGCCTGTGTTTCTGTGGGATTCATGGTTTGTCAATTGTGTCCTTTCCAACCACTTATCTGCTTTTTCTCCCTCCCCTTTCCCCTCTCTATCAGCTCCTCCCCTTCCCATGTTCTTCCATTCTATTCTTTTCTCCTCCTGGCTCCCTTTCTTTCCTTCCCTTCACTCCCCTTTCCTCTCTTATTCCCTTCCTTCAGTTTCCATTCTTCTAACGTTTAAACTCTGAAGGCAAAGAAAAGGCTGGAGCTGAAGTGCTAATAAACAGTTCAGGGCTTAGGTGTGGCTCTAAGCTTGACACTAAAAAGCTTGCTTGGCAAGTGCTTCAGGAGGAAGCAGGGCCCTTTGTCCAATGCTTCATTTTACACCTAAAATATTTATTCTCAAGTTGGGATTGTTGAATTAAATGCCATTTAAAACATTTGCAAGAGCATTATAGTTTGATAACTAAAACCAGATGATACATCAATTTGTCCAAAGTTCAAAGGTAAGTTTACTCTGAAATCATAGATGAATCTCTGAGAGAATACTGAGTCAGGCCTTTCAAATTTATAATATGAAATTATAAATTTCATAATTTATTTCAGGGGAGAATTTGGGGTTCTCTGGGAACATCACACAGCAAGAGCCTCCATGTGATTAGAAATTCTGTCATCTCTCACAAGAACTCACATGATCAGAAACATTAGAATTCTGTGAAGAAGTTTCTACTTTTAAAAAGCTGATCTCTAAGTTCCAGCTAGCCTGGTCTACAGAGCAGGTTCCAGGACAGCCAGGGCTACACGGAGAAACCCTGTCTTGACAAACCAACCAACCAACCAACCAACCAACCAACCAACCAACCAACCAACCAACCAACCAAGCAAACAAACAAAAAACTATTACCTAAAGGTAATACTTTCATTACTT